GTGCATAATAACTAGGTAAGATGAATGGTAATCCACATGGAAGACTTTCAGTAAATACCCAGCTGTATAAAATTCATCACAATATTGAAACTCCATCCCTTTTGCCTAGTTTCAAGCTCTGTCATAAATCAGCATTCATTCATTAGTGTTTGCTAAACATTGTGTCTTTTGTCATAAACCTTGGCTCAAATTTATATGTATGCCAGTAGATTTATATATGTATAAATCTCATCTGGCTAAGACTTCTGTTGCTCTTTGTTTGAACACACAGATTCCAGCCTTCATGCAGAGGTTTTACCAGAGTTAGTCTGAAGCCAAACTCTGAGAGAATCTCAAGGCCTGGCAGCTCCTTTGAAACAAGGGTTTAAAAAATGGCTTGCACAAAGTCCCAGGAACAGAAACTGTAATATTTCACCTCATTTTACCATGTTGCTGGGATGGGGCTGTAACCAGAGTCTTGGACTCAACTGTCCCAAACTCTGGAGAAGGTCAGATTCATTAAAAATTTGAGATATTGCTCCAAACCAAAATCTGACCACTAATAGCTGTTTTTGACAAAATGGTTCTCTCAAAAAAATGCTGTTTTGTTGGACTTAAGACATTTTGCAGGAATGTTTTGATTTCAAGGAAATTTTAGAGAAAGAAAATGTCAAAAAGATTTGCTTTGATTTTTTTTTTCAAAGTACCTACATTTCATTATTTCACAATTCATTACATCAGTATTTTATAACTTTTATACAATACTAGAGTTACAATGACATATTCTGCCTCAAAATACTTAGCCTAGGAAAACTTTGACCTTGACACTGCTGTAATAAAGGGAAAACACAGAAAATTGAGATAAGGACGATTTCAACACAGGCCTACAATTCAATTTATTGGATAATTGATTGGATTTATTGGATAATTTACATGCAGGCACAGAGCTCCACGCACTTTCAGAGCTTATTAGGGCTGACGTTGCATGGGATTTTGCTGCACATTGGATTAAATAAATTTACTGATGTTCAAAGGGGTACACAGGCAGGTTCATACCTCACCCGGGAAACTTTGGTCTCACTTCTCAGCTGGTAGTTGTCACCTTTCACTTGCTCTGTCACAGGCCACCAAACCCACTGATTTAGGTTATTGTGTTTGACTTCAGCTGTGGCAGAGAAGAGCTTCAACAGGTAGCACTGGTCTCTTCCCATGCCTGAGGCAGGTTGGGTCTGCACTAGCAGCAATCATTTGCTGCATACCTCTGCTGCCTTGACCACCCCTGACAGAGCAGAAGAAAGGAGAAACTATGCAAGATGGGCACGAGCCTTAGCTGGGACATAGCAGCTAACACCACTGTCTCCCATACCTGTTCAAACAGCTTCTGCTTGACCCAGGATATTGACTGTCCTTCCTCCCCCATTAGGGCTGAGAGGGGTCTCCAAGACGTTCAGGAGGCAAGCACAGGACAATAGCAGTGTGGACAACAGATGACCCATGAACAAAGCCAACGCACAGTGTAGTGTGAGATGCACTGGTCTGACTGCACAATCAAAGCTTTGGCATTTTTAATTTCTCTTGGGAATGCTTTCCTGTATTATATAGATCTTCTTTCTGCTGGTCTTTACATGTTTTGAGTACTAGAACTATATAAGCTAAATATAGTTCCAATTATCAATATTTATCTGTTACTTTATACGGGAAAAGTGTCTGCTTTTGTTTGTATTTGGCAAAAAAAGAGTTAATGCCTGATGATGAATCCTTTGTGCTAGGAAGCTCTTGGATTGTGCCATTATCACTGCCAGTCCAGGTGGAAAACTTCAGGTACTGTTTCTGTTGCTAAGAAGAATCATTAAAAAGACCATTCTCTCCCTTTGTGGCAGGTACATTTATATCTCTTTTACCGGCAGGTCCGCAAAGGTATCCATGTTCTCACAGAGAACAGGCAATTGCCTTTTTGTTTTCCAGGCAGAAATTTGAGAAGACTGCTGAAAAGAATTACTAAATAACATGAAGTGCTGGTCTGATACTGGACAGAGACTCTTTCCTAACAGAGAAAGTCTCCTGCTCCCTCCTTGCAGAGCACATGGAACGGTCGGTCCCTGGTTTCCAGGTAAGACTCGAGTATTTCCTTCTGGCAGAAATGTTTGTGATTTAAAACTTCAGCATTAGCATTTCTCATAGCAAAGCCAAAGTGAAATTATGGGGAAGTGGGCAGAAGACTGAAATTTAATAGACAGGACTTTTCTGTTTTTAAAGGAAATTGCCTAAAGCAGCCATTTATTTACTTATTTCACCCTCTTTATATTTCATTAAATAAAAAGTTTCCCTGCAGCTATTCCTGCTTCTATTATTTATTCAGAAACAGAGTAGGGAGAAAGAATGACAAATAACAAAAAGGAAAAAGGCTGCTTGGTTGAAGCACACAACAGAACAGCATAAAAGCATGAAAGTACTAAGACCAGCAACATGCCTACTGTCAAACAGTGGCAAACAAAAGAGAGGACTTTAAATACACATTGAAAACACATAGATCCATACACAACAGGACTGGTTACCCAGGCCTGTTTTTTGCAAATACATAATTAAATATTATGCACAGTGAGTACTCTTAATTACTGTGTTTACTGACTGCCTCAATGGAAGCAACAGGCACTTGAGAATTTGTTACTTTATTCAAAACACGATGTCAGAGAAGGACTTAATTGAATGGTCTGAAAGACGCTCAGACTCTCAGGCATGTTGACATCCAATATTGCATTTAATGTCTTGACAGATCCTCACTGAAATTAAAGAAATTGTACAGTATTTCAGGTCCATCTGACTGAAGTACATCACAGGGCTAGTCCTTTATTATTGCTTTTTTCTTCCTGAAAAGGAAATAAACGTATTTGTTACCTACAAATACACTTTGTAAGGCATCATACATACAAAGCCAGAGGAACAGAGACAGCATAATCTTTATGTAACTACCAATAATACCATTAAAGCTACTTATTACAGCTAATTTTTTTCTCATGCAAATAATGCTATTTACATGGACTAAAAGATATATTCAGCTTCACCCATTATAAAAACTTCTGCATCTCCTTGTTTAATCTTTAACTCTTAACTTTAATCTCCTTGTTAAATGCTTCCCCAAGCTAATCAGTATTTTCTAGATTTCTCTTCTTGGAGATAATAAGAAGAGTAGGAGTGAGGAATGCAATTAAGAATTTTTTTGCATGCAAGTCTTACAGAACAAAACAGATTCAAAATTCATACTAGATGCTGGAGGTAATGCCAAAACACAGGCGTCTCTTTCAAAATTCTCAGTGTGTTCCATATCAGGTGATGCCTTGGAATATTTGGAAAACTGAAACAAAAATTCTAGAAAACTACACTGTCAATAGTGCATTTGTCAGTGGTAGGTAACTGCCTAAAGCCCTCCCAGTGCAGTTCACTGAATGAAAACTAGCAGGTGTATTGAAACATATTTAAGGTTTTAAGTAGTGATTTTCACAGAGATGAAAATAAAAATAAAGGACATCAAACTACTAAAAACTAAATAAAACAACACGTGTACCAAGAGCCAATTTTCAGGACGGAGGCTTAAAGAATTACCCACTTATGTTCTTCCTTACAATTTAATGTATCCCTCACAAGACATGCAGACTGCATAAAACCAGTCATTTATCTGGAATTCTCCTAATTACAGCCAGTAGTTCTAATGAATAAATAAATGCCCTGGTCTTACTATCAGATCCACAGGAGTAAACCTGCTCTGAGCTTTTTTACCTTCCAAGGAGATCTTAAGGAAGAAAATTGTATACATGTTGGCTCATTGCTGAACTGAGGGCCTTTTTTTACAAAACAAACACCAACTATAATGACTAAAGAATGAAAAAGAGTTTGAGGCTTCCCCACACCACGTTACTGATGCTTCATGTAGAACTGGAGAAATTTCTTGATTCCAATCTTGAAGGAAAAAAAACACAGTCTAAAGTATTTTTATACATTCAACACACATTTTTATTGCAGATGACCATATTTCTTCCTAGTTCTTTCAACCTCACTATATAGTCCATTGAGATTAAATCAGCTATGTATTGTAGTATTTGAAAGCCTTTCAGTATGAAAAGCATACAGAAGTGGGAATCAGGGATCAGTCTGGGTCCTTTTAGGAAACAAAACACTTGGGAGTTTCAGGTTTCAGACCAAGTCCTTGAAAAATTGCCTCCTTATATGCCAACTGTATTTTCTTTCTTTCACTCTCACAGGCATTTTCCAAACTTAAACATATGCAGAAAAACCCATACAGGCTGCTCAATATTATTAAATTTTTTAGGGGCAGGACCTTGAGGACCTCTCAGGTCCAGAACGAATGTAGGCTACAGCCTTTTCCAGTCATATTAATCTACTCCAAATCTTTGAAAATAAAACTTTATTTTTCTTGCAACCAAAACAGAGTAGGGATGGCAGAATGAATTTCCACCTCTGGATGGTAGACAGAATTAGATAGTTCAGTTTGTTAGTTGAGAAGGAAACTGTATTTGCAGGCATCAGGTAATCCAAAAGGTGTTAAGGAATTAAACCTGTGTTGAGAGTGATAGTGTGAATGAACAAAGTGGCAGACCCACCTCTCTTGAGTGAGTGTACTGCATGCTTTCAGAGCTGAGGTGAAACAATGTGGTCAGCTCACTATTATTCACACATGTTAAGGCTGTTCGCCTGCTTTGGTCTTAGAAGGACAAGAGACACAAGCTGGGGGCCAAAGGAACAAGTTCTCTGTATTACCAAAAAAGAATCTGTGCTTTTTCTCAAAAACTGTCTCCAAATGTTTAAATTAGAGAACAAAAATAACTAGTATAATCATATGAAGCTCCTAAAATGGCTGCTTCCTTCCAGCAGCTGCCCAAGCATCATAATGGGAATTGTTTGGAGAAGACATGCCCTGGCTCATGTCCCTGGCAGAACTGGCAGTATTCTCACCAATCAAGAGCTTGTCTCTTGAAACGTCAGTCCAAACTCCAGCGGATCCATGGAGGAGAAAGTGCATTGCCTAAGCCCATTACATTGAAGAAATGGTTTTGCTGGTGGCAATAGCAGAGGTGCTGTTGGTTCTGGGACTGGCCGTGGACTCAGATTCTCTCTGCTCACCCACTACCTTCTATAAGAACTGCTGGATCCGACGCTTCCCAGGTCTTCTGCTTGACCTGCAGGAATCGCAGAAGAGGGGAGCCCAGGTGCTAAAGATTTATGCAGAAGTCTCACCCCAACAGTGCAGCAGAACCTGCTGCCTTCTGAGGAATGGTGAGTGTTTATTCCCAAGATCGTGCCACACATTAAAACTCACATCACAACATATGAGGAAAAATATTTTGGTTAATTTTTATATGAATGACGAACAAAAATACAACTGTGACAACCTGACACTGACATAACCAAGCCAGCAGCATTCCAATGAAGGGTCCACTTCTATCTCAAATAGTGTGACAAAAGAGCAATTATATACATTTCAGCAAAGTTTCTTCTATTTGGACAGCAAACTTTGTCTCACAGATCATGGGACTGGATACCTTACAGAGATCAGTAATGGTAACTTGGAATCTCATTTTTATCACGTTACATTCTTAGTAACTTCGTTACAATCTTCGCTGAAATAGAGACATTAGATGGCATTTCAAAGATATGCTTTAAATCAGCTTGTGTTTTCCTTCTAATCCCAAACAGATATAGTCACTACCACAAATACTACTGCTCATAAATTTCCAATTAAGATTTCAAGAAATGTTGCTAAGAAGTTTGCTAAAAGAATTTTCTTTGCTGGATTCCCAGTAATCCCAGTATCTTACAAGATAATAAGAAATTTTGAAGGCATTTAATAACAAGAAGAAAAAAACATGTTCTTTTTAACTCCTCAAACCAATGCAAAATATCTTATAGCAAACGTTTGAAGTATTTTTTTCTGACCAAAGACCTACCCTTCCTCACAAAAAATAGGCTTGTGATTTATTTTTCTTACCTGATTTTATACAATAAAATCCATCCTAGATCCCAAAGAGAATATATCCACAGAAGCCAAGTTCTTCAGATGATATTTTGGTTTTCTACTACTTAATGATGTTTTCATAAAGCATACAAAGTAATCATTCAAATGGAAAATACTTATAATTATGTTGTGCTGAAAAACGTTTCCTAATGACAACAGAACTTTGCACAGACTTGGAATATTAGAAAAGTTACAAAGATTTCACTCCTCCCTTCAGACAAATACACCTCTTTTCAGGTGGTTTACATATTCTTAAATAGGATCAGTAAGTCTGTATCAGAAACCTGTATAGTATTTATGTATCACACTTAAAAACATACATAAAATCTACTGTTAGTACAAAAGATCTGTTCTTTGACAAAATCCAGAACCTTGCATACCTGGCACTGAAGGCAAGGGCACATACTGCTACATGTGAGGCAAGTGAAGAACAGAAGTATTACAAATTACTTTTATTACTTACAAATGTGAGAAAAATCTTTGGAAACCAAATTTATAAGGCCCTGCCCTGTCAACACATTTTTAATTGCAAGTAGCCATATCAGTTCAGGTATGGAGGTTAGAATCAAGGCAGGTAAAGTGAAATTAATAAACCCCCTCAAAACAAAAAACCTAACTGATCCTGCTCCAAGAACACTGATATAATAAAATAAAATAAACTTCTGACTTGGTATTTTGACTTGAGACTTTGAGGTACTGTGAGACTCTGAAAGAAGAATCTTTCCTGCTTTTTATATAGTGTGACTTTAACCATAAGTATTTTAGCATACATTTTCAACCTAAATAGTGAACCACTATGATTCACAGATCTAAATACTTCTGAAAATTTGGTTTCAGTGACAAATTCTTCAGTTTTTTTTTTTTTTTCATTATTACTTTAGCCTTGATTTCTGATGTGGGAAGATAAAACTGAACCTCCAAACATAGATGAAGAATTGTCTAAACTACTCTGTTTACAGAAATACAGTAGCCCAAAGGTAAACAAGGAAAATGAATGGGAACTGGCAGCATGGCAGGATGTAACTTATTGTAGTTCAGGATGGTCTTTTAATAGTCTGGTTACAATCCAGTTTCAAGTAGACCAGTATATTACACAAGATTTAAAGAGATTTAAAGTACTATGGAGCTGCCCAGTATTAATGATCTGATGTTAAATAACATAATAACATGCAAAATGCAGTGGCCATTATGGTCATAAGCTCAGCTTTGTTCTTTTTGTATTATAGTTTCCTGCAATGTAGCAGTGTTCTACCATGGACCTATTCATGAGAATATGAACTGCCTGCACATGTCCTGTCCCACACTGGAAAGCTGCATACTAAAGGCTAGAATCAATGTAATTTTGTACAACATCACAACAGGTAATTAACCACCTCATTTATAAAGGCTGAAAACATGGCAGCTAGAGGAAATGTTAAAATTATACTAGGTCAGTTGCTGTGCTAGAAGATGCTACATGCTAAAACAGCATTAAGAGTTGTTTCCTCTTTTATTCATGTACCCACTTGTGAGAATACTTCCCTCCTTTCTTCCATTCAGTATATGAGAAAGGACCTTGAGGATACACCCTGCTCTCAAGGTTGATGCTCTGAGTACCTGGCCAATCTGTGCTTGGGGAAAATGCCATACCAGATCTGAAAGGCCAGGCTGCCTCTCCTCCATGTCCCCAGATCCAGTCAGTGGCAAGGCTGAACATGTATTCCCATTAGGCACAAGCAGGAGCTTGCCAGGACTCCCTTACTCCCCATCAGCCCAGATCCTTCCCTTTCCTCACCTTTGGTTCCTTCCCCAAACATACCACTGGGCTCTGTGCAATCCCACAATGTACTACCCTTGCAGGCCATAAGGTGTCCCACAGCCCTAGGCAGTGACACTCCCAGTCCAAAAGGTGTTAATGGGTATTACTTGGGCTCCCTGACCTGCCATTGTCTCCTTGTGCTCCTTTTGTGGGTGTGTAGATGAGCTTTTATCACATAACTAACATTGCTTATGATTTAATAGGGATTGATCCAGATCTTCTGCTTTTTGAAAAGCTGAAATCCAAAGAGCCAAGTACTCAGTCCTCACCAAGCAAATATGAAAGGCAAAACAGCATGACCACAGAGTGGGAAAGATGCCAACATCATAATGTCACATCAAGTTCCCTTCTGCTCCAAGCTCCAGCTTCTACCACGAGCTATGGCTTAGCAGCAAACACTTACACCTCCAGTACAAGCCTGATGGTCAAAAACCCTGCAGTTACCACTTATTCCAGGGGAGAAACTTTTCCATCAGATGATGATTTTGCTAAGAGGACAAGCACATCTTCAGTAAGCACCAGGTCAGTCACCAGCTCCCACAAGAAGACTGGACACTCAACTCTGCTATCCAAGTCTGCCCAGGTATTATCCCACATGCCCACTCCTCCCCGTCTCAACAGCAGTAAGCAACACCTCAACGAAACCAAAGGCTACAGTGGCAGGAATTACACTTCAGACAATGAGGCACCTGGCTGGGAAGCTGCAGCTCTGGGGGTCTGGCTGATTCCTGTTGTTCTTTGCTCTTCTCTCATCTTCCTTTGCTGTTGTACTGTTGCTTTCACAGCAGGGCATTGCAGCAGTAGGAGAGGTCACTATAAGCCCGTAAGGAGAAGAACAACAAAGCTGAGACAATTCATAAAATATTCTAGTGTCAAAGGTAATTTGTAAAATACTGTCACCATCCTTGTTTTGGAACAAACAGATTTTAGAAATGAATCACATATACTAGCTAATTTTTTTTTACAGAACCAAAGGTCTTTTTTTTCATTGATGGTTTCAGAATCTTTCACTTGTAATTTAATTCTCAGCAGATGAACCACAATTCCCCTGTCTCTTGAAGGTAAGAAGTACACATACACACCTCCCACTGCATGCTCAGAGGTGTTCAAGCACATTTCAGTCCATCACCTGACCCAGACTAGTGCCTCACAAACAGTACACACTGAGAAAATTAAGAATGATCAATAAAACTGACAACTTTTTAGAGTAAGATTAAAACATTTAACTCTAATCATCCTTTAATTGCCTCATCGTTTCTATAAAAGCTGTAATTTTTTCTTGAAATAAGTATTAGATTTACCTTTTTTCCCCATTTATCTCTAATACTGAGACAACACAATTTAGCCAACACTCTTTACTTCTTCAAAGAAAAACACCAAAAGGAATCCAAGTCCCCAAAACTACTGAATTCCATTCTCATACCCAAACATTTGATCTTTATGCTTTACTTTTACCTCACTTCACTCTTCTGATAACAATCACTTCAAATGTTTTTCAAGCCCCTCCACCCCTTGAAGCACATTCAGACTTAATCTGCTTTTGTAAATTGCTTGTTCTGCAATGCACTGACAAATCCATTCTGTTATTGGCTGAGGAAAACACAAATGCAGCTGACATTTGTTCACGCCTTGCAATTAGTATCAACCTGTGTTGTGCACTTTGACTTGCTTTTTCTTGCTTACTCATATTTATTGTTGACAGAATTAGCTTTTTAAAATAGGCACAGTCATTTAATGTATGTTGGCAGAGGAATACACATGTTTTGAAAGCTCGGTAAGTCAGCTTTATAGTAAAACTCCCTTTTTTGTTTCTTCATCCTTATGTTATGCTCATAAAAGTGCTCCTTATGAATATAAATCAAGCAACCAGAACAACAAGGTAACAAGGTATTTCCTTTCAAGAGTAACCATGATTGTTCTTCCTCTTTTAAACTTGTTGATGTCTCCGTTGCTCACTTTCTTCAGCTGCTGTAAGAAGTTTCTGTTTCCCAGACAAGTGTAAATATTATAGAAAGAAGTAATAAAAAATAAAACTGATTGTCATGTCTACATGGTGGGAAATTGTTTTAAAACTAGTAAGATTCATGCAGTGTTTGAAGACTACGCTAATGAGGTTGTAAGGCTACAGGAAAAGTAAATTACAGTTGAGCAGGTTGGTTTCAGAGGAAAAGACCTCTCTAAAATTGTATTTTAGCCCACACTGATCAGCACTGTAGCTTAGAAAATTGAAGTTTACATAAAACCTTGTTTATACTGTTTGATTGACCTTTTATGCTAATTTATATGTAATAGAAGAGAGACTGTCACAGGATAAGAACATTTTAAAGGAGTGGGGTTATTTAATCAGTTGAAATAACACACAGGAAATTCCTTCTATTTTAGCTAGAAAAACTAGAATTAGTTACGATTTTTTTTTTTAATGGGTTCTTATATGCTTATATGCAAAGCAATATAAACTCTAGAGAGGTACCCACTGCATGATGTACTTGAAATTTCAACAAGCTGGCTTTTATCATCAAATTGTACTTTCCTAGTTCATCACGTGGCTGGATGTAGCACATAGTTTACCTAGCACTAAAAATTTCAGCACAGTATGATGAGCTCCTCAAGCACTCTTCTGAGTTAGAAGAAGTGTACAGGTATTATTTTCCAGGTTTTTAAAACCAAAGGGAAACAAACTAGGAGAAAGGAACCAAGATACTTTATATTGTATCAAAGGATGAATGTGGTGATCCTATAAATAATATATGTCTCATATGATGTGCTGACCATCTTAGGGTAATCTTCATGGATCTGACTCCTAAATGGAAGAGTTTCAGGTCTGACTCATTCCAACAGGAAAACAATTCAGATGTGTCACACATCATGACAAACTGATCAAATGCATTAAGTAAGATGTAAAGATGCATCCCAAGCAGATCTAAAATCCAGCCTGCTTACCTTTCTGCCTGTCTATTTTCTGCCACGTGACTAAACATCCAATGTAATGCAGAAAATCCAGCCTGCTTACCTTTCTGCCTATTTTCTGCCACATGACTAAACATCCAATGTAATGCAATAGTACAGAAGTGTCTGATGAAACTGTCTCCTTTGAAATGGTCAAAACAATTAACACAGGGAAGTGCACATTCACTGCCAAAGAAGGGTTCAGCAAAAACTGCTCTTTGAAGAACACTGCAGTCATATATGTCTAACAGCTAAAAAACCTGAACCTAAACTCTGGAGAATACTTTGTAAGAGAACTAGATCTGCACTCTGTGATGCTTTTCTTCAGGCTGAACAGAGCTTTAAAATTCTGCTCGTGTTCACTTTGGAGCTTCAAATGCTCCCAAAGAGAAGATGTTACTGGAGAAATTAAGGCTTTTCAAACTGCACAAACTTACAAGACCTTGCAGCGCTGAATTGAAAACATAATTTCACCTGAAAATCAGATAACACACTAAAATTATTATTGCTACATAACTGCATGCAGTTTTTAGGATACAGAATTCACATGCAGGCAGCTTAGTCCAATTCAGGTAGAAAAATTATGTTCTGTTTACCTAAAAATTGCCCCATAGTTTCAGCTGGATAGAATGTTTCCATTTTCTTACCCTAGGGGTTTGCCAAGTTTTGCTGAATATTAGTTATATTAAATTACAGAAGTATACACATTTTGTGTTAGAATTAGTTGTTTCATACTTTGCATTTATTTTTTTTTAAATTTAATAGAAATGTAGTTGTTATTTTCCAGGGTTTAAAGGCAAGGGAGTGCACAGTACCTCTTTCTCCCTGCTTCAAATAATGAGATTTGCAGAGCAGTTGAAGAGTTTGAGGCAGCAATATTGTAATGCAGAAAACTGTCAGGTTCTGACATACTGCAATACCTTCATTATATGAGACTGGCACTAATTTCATTGTTCCCAGGTTCTTACTATTCATCTTTGTCCTGACTCAGCCTCCTCTGCAGGTGGGGCAGCAGCCCAAATGCCCTGCAAAACACCTGCTGGCAGCCTGGAGTGTTGCCAACTCAACAGTGCTCGGCCTCTTCCAGCTTTGCTCTTCTTCTGTTATAAACGATCCTCCACAGCAGCTTGATTCAAGAACAAAGAAGAAACTTTAGTCTTAAAGGATGGATACTACTATTGGATTTCTATTTTTAAAAAATAAGAAGAAATTGACTACAGAAGAAGTGACAACTTGCTAATCTTACACCAGGGATGTCCTGCACCTATAAATGCAAGACTAGCAAAGTAATCCTTTCACTGGACAGGATACACTCCAACATGCCAAAACCAAAAATCTCTGCAAGAAGGCATTTGTTTTAATAGAGAGAAGTCATAGGTACTATACTCTCTGCTTTCCAACAGGTGATTTTTTCACCTTTTACTCTCAGGAAAGTAACTAGAAGTGACAACTTGCTAATCTTACACCAGGGATGTCCTGCACCTATAAATGCAAGACTAGCAAAGTAATCCTTTCACTGGACAGGATACACTCCAACATGCCAAAACCAAAAATCTCTGCAAGAAGGCATTTGTTTTAATAGAGAGAAGTCATAGGTACTACTATATTCTTTGCTTTCCAACAGGTGTTTTTTTCACCTTTTACTCACAGAAAAGTAACTTCTATCTCTTCATTGATCAGTTGTGTGGCCTGCAGCAAGTTAGTCATCCCTGGTGCCTGGGGTTGCTTCATCTCCACATTAGTGACTGTATAATGTACTTAATAGCAGCATGATGCTCCTTTGAAACTCACCCTCAGTATTATGCTCTGCAGAATCATATAATGGAACTGGGACCTCAATACTCACCAGAAAATGAGACAGAACTGAAAATTTATCTCTCTCAGGCACAATTGCTTCTGGGCCAGAATGAAGTGTCTAAAAAATAGAAGACCACATTCTGAAGAATCTTCTAGGCTTGTTTGAAAAAAATAAGGAGGAAAATGGTTATATAAAGCACAGTAGCACAACTATTTTATTACAGACCAGAAGTGTCACAAGAAAATCAATATATACATTTGAAGTATAAGAGAAAACAAGAAATGAGTAGAAAGATGGTTTGTCCACATAGCACATCCTTTTAGGCAGCATAGGTCCCTTTATCCCTTATTTGTGCTTGTAGCAATGCCATGCATGAGAATGGGCCAAAAAGTGTCAACTCCAGTCAGGAGCATCTTAGTTCCCTGAGGACCATGAGATTATCTGTAGGGTTTACCAGCTCCTCAGACACAGCCAGTCACATTCAGGTCTCAGGGCCTGGTGAAGTTACAAGTAGTTGAAACATCTACTGCCCTTGCCAAAGACTGAATTACATCTCTGTACAGGCCTTCTTGTCTAACCTGAGCAAGAGATTATGCTTCATGTCCAACAGCCCTTCTTTAAAGGGCAAAAGTGTGACAGAACACAGACAAACCACCTCAAGAAACTGTTTAGTGAAACTTTGAATGTTTCGCTCTGCAACTCCTCGCACAGTGTTTACTAAAGACAGCTTATGCCAGTGATTACAGGAGTTTCTAGATGCAAAAAATTAGCCTGACTACTGACAAAGCAAGTTCTTTTCCAGTCTGTCCAAGGGCCAGATCTCAACCTTTCTTTGGAATGTTTATATGGGAGATAAAAGAAAGGTTAGTCTCCTCAACAGCACCAGCAAAACTATGCATCACAACTATTCCAGATGGCTGAGAATTTAATTCATTTGAGGTTTTGTTTTTTTTTTTTTTCCATTGGAGACAGCTTGTTTTTCATTGCCATAAGGAACTTACTTTTCCAGTTTGCGGGGGCAAGTCTTTGGATTTGAAAAGAGACATCTGCTACTTGGAGGTTAGAACAGCGACTGCAAAGAGGCACATCCAGCACCCTTCCTGCCCCAGCTCCAGCTCGTGATGGACAGGGTCGCCTCAGGTCAGGGCTCTCATCAACTAGCTCCATGTTCCTCTTGGCCAGTAAACACCACCAAAAGAATTACCTATGGAGACAGCCAATGCCTCTAGATATTATGTGTGGTTTTTCGCTCCTCACTGTTAAATTTATGGATGGGGGCCCTGGCCTGCTTCTTGATTTAAGTGTTTCCTATCTGCATTTCTATTTAAAAGGCACATGAACACTTCCATGTAACAAGAATGTACATACACACAGGTGTGTGTAGAGGGTACACACCTTAGTCATGCATTTACATTATAATGTACATGATACATTCATAAGTGACCACTGCTAAGGATGTTTTTATTACTGTGCTGTAGAGCTGCTCAACCCATAAGTCTATTAAATAGTCTTTAACTCTTCAGGTTTTAAACTTCAGTGCAGGTTTCCAATGACACAGTCTGCAAGAGGATTATACAGGAAAATAAAGATGTGTACTTTAGTTCATAAAAACATGTGCTATACTATACATCACCAAGGCTGGGAATGTTCCAGGTATGCTACAGAGACACAGAGAAATAAGCCATCCTCAAACACACTTCAAAGGGAGAAGCAGAAAAACAGAGAAACATCCAAGGTGACAAAGAGCTCAAAATACAATCCAGGCTACCTTTGATCCAGCCCTTCACATTACAGAAGTTCTGTACTATAACACGTAACCAATTAGTAAAAATCACAGTGTAACTGAATTTTGTATTGACTTTGATTTTAGCAGATTGATTTGCCTTATTTAAGGATTAAAAAGGTTTTTAATTTTGCTTCTGTGTTTCTTAGCAAGGAGAGGATCTGAAGACAACATTGAAAACCAAGGTTGCAAGTCAATTTTGCAGATTTCTAAGGCCAGCTGGCCAAGTGTCCTATTGCTTTGGTATCATGAAGTCAGGTACTACAGGAAAACTTTTACAACTAATTTCTGATGATACGGGGTTGATGATAAGTGTTGAATGGGGTTAGAGAACACAGTGAATTAGTTCCAGCTAACAGGTAGAATCCATTGTTGGCAGAGGCACTTCAGTGTCCTGGAAGTCAGAAGACAGCCACCTTTTCTCTGCCTGTATTTCTTGAAGCAATTATAGAATGTATATAAGGCTTGAACACTTCAGAGGGAACTCTAGAACCCTGTGCATTTTAGGTTTTCCATGAATTAGCTGTGAAGAAAGATAATGTTTAATGAAATAATACAACCAAATGAAAAATCAATTCCTCTTGCTGTACTGTTCTTTCTACCACTCATTATTATAAGTAAAGTAAAATTGTTATTTTAACTACAACTTTCAGAGTTCTGTTTAGGTCCATTGAAAGTCTGTGAAGTGCAAATGAAAATGGAATTGTCCTGTGCTGCAGAAGATTCCATCAGGTGTTCATATGTCCCAAGCAAGTAAGGAGAAATTTATGGAGGAAAGCAAGCTTATGGGGTTTTGGGTTTCTTAAAACATCTCAGGGCATTACTCATGGCAGGCTGGTAGAAGACACAGCACTGCACAACAGAAGGTAGTTACACAGGCTTGCTAGTATGCCAGTCCTTATGCAAGCACTGACAGAGCTAATTAAGGAAACAAGTTTCTTTTGTGTACATACTAGAACCAAACAGCCTTTGGAATACAGCCAGGCACAACTCCACCTTCCATACCACTCCCTGAGTCAAGCTGCAGTTACTTCCTCAGTAATTCTGGTTTCATGGCTGTTCAAAAAAGATTAGGGATTACACAGATGTAGTACTTCAAACGAGAGATTAAAACATTACCCTCATTGTCCCTGAAGAAAAGAACAACCTGGTAACAGCTAAAACTTTCCCCATGTTAAGCTCCTGCTAAAACTTCACTTTAATAGAGATGTAAAAGAAAGAAATATTAAATAACCACATTGGTAAGTGCAAAATGGGATTAGAGGACCAGCATTTTCAATGAGCTACAGCTCTGGCAAATTCTGTAGGGATTAAAATATAAACAAGGGAATCCTTCCAAAACTGACAATGTTTTGGAAATAGGAATACATACGCTCCTTAATTGTTTGTAAACACAAACCAGGGAGAAATCCTAGCAGTGAGTGAGCAAAGCCACACAACACTGCAGAAATCAATTCCTTTCCCTTTAGGCAGCTGTCCCTTTATCCCTTACTTGTGCTTACAGCAATGCTGTGCATGACAACGGGGCAAAAAGTGTCAGCTCCAGTCTGAAGCTCCAGTCTTGGTTAGCTCTGTTACTGAAAAAGTAACAGAGCCACAACACTGCAGAAATCAATTCCTTTCCCTTTAGGCAGCTGTCCCTTTATCCCTTACTTGTGCTTGCAGCAATGCTGTGCATGACAACGGGACAAAAAGTGTCAGCTCCAGTCAGGAGCATAAATTAGTTCCCTGAAGAACTAACAGAGCTAACCAAGGCTCAGTCCATTCCTATTTAACCTGCATTCTCAGCCCATTACTCACCAGCTCTCACTTTCAGCAGCCTCCTCATTCCTCCTTTCCCACCCACTTCATTCTCCTGGCAATAACTGCTCGTATACCTTCTTACTACCATCCCACTTTCTACCTTATTTTATTCCATCATCTTAGAGACAGGTATTGTTACTCAGGGCATTTGTTAGCCCTCACGACAACAACTGAGAGAACCTCACACTGTTGCTTCAGCACCTCTCCAAAATTTAAACATTATCTTTCTTTTACAGACAGGCAGTACAGATAAAGAGAAATCTCAGTGCCATTTGGAAAATCTTTAGGAACTTCAGAGCTCTTAACTTTCAGGCTCTTATTTGTGTGAGAAGTCAGAATGTGATTAAGCAGAGGACTGAACCAGGATCTGTCAAGCTAAAAAAGCACAGAACAGAGTGATCAAGTCACCAGTACAACTGAAAACATACTTTATTCAAATTACAAGATTCATGGACAGGAAAATTATGCTTACAAGAAAATCCATCAGTAAAGAAAAATCTGATTACTATTGAAATGAATTCATCATGAGGTTTCATATTTTTGGTTAAGGTCCTGAATAATTAGATATCCATATCACAAAGCAACATGAACACAGTAGTTTAATACTTCCCTAATCAGGGGTACCTGCATAGTCTGCTCTCATAATGCTTGTATGTTCAACAGCTTCTTTACAGATTCCTTATAATGAGACATGTTATCTTCTGTTTCACCTTCATTTTTCAGTGCAATTACAGAGTTTCTGTAATTCTTAACCACTTCAGATGCAAGCAGCTCTTCCTTAGTTACATTACTGACATTCTCTGAGGCTTTTATTCGAAGTAGGGTATCCAGAGCATTTTTCTGAGAGCAGCTATTTTCCCAGATATACTCTTCCATGTCTTCCTCTGACTTCTCACTCTCCCACATCTCAGTTTTCTGAAAGAAAATATACATTGTCTTAACAACTACTCAAGACTGAAACAGAGCTATATAATAATGTGAAGAAATTTCTCTCTCATACCAATTCACTTGAAAAATGACATTTATTGTGGAAGATATTTCTCCTTCTTTAATGTACAAGGCTTGTAATTCAAGCCTCAGGCAGAGGAGTTCAAAAGGTGCCTACATTCTGTATGTTTTCTGTGCAGGGTAAGTTTCTTTCCTCTCACTGATCAAGTTCTTTATGCATCTGGCAGATGTAACTAGAAGAGTCAGAATGGGAAATGGTTCATAGACTATACATAATGAATAACAAAAAAAACCCTTGTAAAAGTAGTAATTTTAAATAACCCTAAATGTTCAAGCTTTGGAAGTAGCCACCTAGTTATTATGTCCCTAGCCTATGATTTTGGCATGTTTGCATTGGCTGTAAGATGCACAATGAGATAGCCCATACCAAGTAACCTATGATGAGAGACAGCAATCCTTCACCATTTGGGAAATGTTTTAATTGTGACTCGTAAGGAAAAGCACCACCAATTACTCTATTTCCTCTCCTTGCAAAAACCAAAACTGCTCCTCAAGAGAATCTCTATCCACAGGGTGCTAATTTTTTACCTAATTAGTGTCGTGAGATTAGATAGGATCAAAAGTTGAACACAGAAAGAAGACATCAACCTGATGCCTGTAAATACTTGGCTTGTGCATTTGTTCTTTAGAAATTTGTCTTTGAACATCTCTCCCAATTCAGAAAGCCTTCTCTAGCTTCACACACCTTTTACAGGCTATTTCAGATGTTATAAACTGTTATTTTTGTATGTTTAATTTTTATTTACTTGCATAAATATATACGGTTCACAGATGTATTTCTATTTTTATATATTATACATTATATATTTATTATTATTTAGTACTTTAATGATGTGAACTATACATAGGATCCTTGTACTATTTCAACTACACAAGAAACACAATTTGAAGTACTTGGGGCAGTCATGGTTTTCTTATGATTGTTCTAGAAACCACATCTAAATAAAACTTGTATTTCTCAGGCAATAAATTAAAAGAATCATTATATGAAAGCATTTACATAATAAAAAAATATTTTAAAATCCATATTTTTTAGAATCTCTCTTGCCAGAAAGGGCTCTTCAGTAAATTTTTAGCTATACTATGCAGAATCCAAATAAACTTGGTCATGACAGGAGGGCTGGGCTTTTTTGTTTGTTTGGGATGGGGAAGACAGTTTTTAATTTGTTTCTTTTAAAGTATTCTATCCATTAGTCAACAAGGCTGCTGCAGACAAACCACAATATTTAATAACCTTTAATTAAGACCCAAGATTTATTTTTCCCCCCTATAACTCTGTGTGCTTGGGTCCATGTATCCAAATTTAAAAACACTTTAACAAATGCTGCACCAAGTAAATGGAAACTCTTAATTCTTTTAATTTTCTTTTAATTCTCTGAGTCCAAATGTTTAGTCAGAAACAGTGATTAACACTGCTGAAAGGCTCATATAACTGACATTAAAACCTGGATGTAATACAACACAGAAGTAAAAGAACCTCATTCAATTTCTAGAGGGTGGGGGGGCAGGAAAAAAAAAAGCCATACTGTAGCCTGTACTGCTAAAAGAGCAGCACAACAACTGGGCAGACTAAAGTATTCCTTTACTTCAACTCAACCTGGAAATTTACATAGTCTTAAATTAACAACATCATCCTGTTTTGCATATTCCCTGTTTATCTGCATAATGCCTGTACAAGACATTTTTTCCCTCAACTCTGAAAGAATTTTAAAGCAAAAGCTTCTCTCACAGGGATAGAGTTTCTGAAGAGTAAGGGAATCAGGGTATCAGCCCTAGTTACTCCCTGGACCAAAGTCATCTTTGAAGTTCAAACAAAAGAGCACTGTGAGGCTTTTAAACACCTTTAAGTTATAGCAAGGATAAAAAGAACTAATTAGTTATTATATTTATCTCTTCAGCAAAATCCTTCTCTGCACACATTAACTTACAGGATTTTGGAGATGCACACTGATAAACAGATTAAGATTTCCTTCTCTCTTCTGAGTGATACAGAGTAAGATTTTAAAAGAGGCCAGAGAATCTGTTATGTATTTCTTTCTTGGAATCCTTCCCAGCAGAACGGTGTGTCAAAACAGACTTCAAAATAAAAATCAGACTTCCAGCCAGGAGCAAGGCAGGAAGGGAATTGACAGTAGGGGGAGATTTCAAAACCCACTCCTCAGCCCTGCTACAAGAAGCCAGTATCCATTGCTGCCATGTTGGTGGCCGTGCCTCAGAATGAAGAGTTATCCTGCTGTACACAGCTCCAGACATACATCACAAACAGGAAACTGAACAGAAACCAGATTTTTGCAAACTGACTGTACTGAGTGAAACCTAAAACACCTTTCAACCAGATTTATTGCAAGAGAAAGAGTGAATCAGGAATTACATTTTCCCTTGAAAAAGTACCCTAGGAAGAAAAGCACCCACGAATTCTGGATAGTGGAAATGTTACAAGCATTGTAGCTTCAGTTTAAAGTGTTCTGAAGAAAACTAGTAATACAATGAAAGAAACTTCAAAATAGAGATCTTCATTACCCAAAGTTTTGTCAGATATTTCTGTCCCCTGCAAATTTAAAGTATTAGTAAATGCTGCAGGAAGAGCCTTACAATTGATATCAAAACAGTGAAAACTGTAATACAAGTGTGGCATTCTGAAACATTTTTCTAGAATCCCCACTTAATAAATGAGGTAATATCAAGAACTTTTATTTCTTCAATGAATTTATTAAAAATGACTGTGTCCTTCTATCACAAGACACAACATCAGTATTAACCAACCTGGCTGTAGATGCAATCAGCTGATAATTCCAACTGTTTCTTTTACCAAAACTTCCAATAAGAACAGGGAAAAAAAACCCCAAAACCCAACCAAATAAAAAAACCCAACCAAAACAAAACACCACAACAGAAAAAACCCTTTGCAAATAAGGTCAAAGGATCCAAATCTATCACTAATGAGTCACGGAAAAATGATTTAGATTTTCTGTGATTTTTCTGGTTTGGGTTTTTTTTTGGGGGGGTTTGTTTGTTGGTTGGTTTGGTTTTTTTTATTGTTTGGGCTTTGTCTGTCTCGGGTTTGCTTTTTTTTGTTACACTTTCTAATGCAAATATAGAGAATTATTGTTTTTAATGCCACAAATAAAATAAGGATTTGTTTCTAAGCAAATCTTATGTTACAATTTAAGCCAGTATTTTGGGAGATTTACAAGCTTTTACAGTGCTTAATCTGAATTGCTGACAAAGTATAAATACTAGAATAGTATTTTGTCCAGAGAAATTGCTTTTACATAAATGTAACTTACAAAAAAATCAATTTATATTGTATCTTTAAGTAAAGAAGAAAGGAAAGCATTTTTGATCACTTTAGCAGGCATTTCACCATAATTTTTCTTCTTTCCACTGGTTTAACTTTCATAATTTTGCTGTCATAACTATATGAAGGAGGATTATAATTGTCAGTTCCCTAGTGTTTCTTCTGGGGAAAACATTTTAACTAAAATTTTTAAGTGGTACACAAGTCTTCAAGGCAATTAAAAGCATGATTCTTGTTAGTAAATCTTCTTGTCATTGGTTTGAACAGTTAAAAATTTTATGCTGTTTAACAAAGACCAAGTATTTTTGTGGAATTTTTTTTTGGAGGGGAAGGAAAGTTCTTTAAGTTGCAAGTCAAATTTCAAACTCTGTATAGCCTAGAATAAATACAACTAATTCCTTAGTATTGTACTGAAATAAAAGATACTCTGTATGGTTCAATAAACACACATATTCGGGTAATAAATGACAGTTATTTGGACATTTCCCAAATTATTTTGTACCTTCAGTTGAAAAAAGGATTTGCCAAACAATTATGTACATGTCTCTTTGGTTCCATGACATCTTTGAACTGTATTATTTGGTTATAAACTTGAAATAAATTAGTAAAGAAGCAAAACATTTGTCTGATGAGACTGAATACAAAGAATTTTAGTTGCCTTGTGATGCAGAATAGGCTAAAATACATTCTTCTAAAAGAGCAGAACATAATTTTCTAGCACGCAGCAATGGCACAGGATAAGACAAACGTATAACAGAAAAGGAGAATAAGCAGAAAAGAAAGAACAGAATTTTTCCTCAAAAAATAATATCAGAAGTTAAGAGATGCTCTCACACTTAATGATACTCTTCATCTCTGGTTCTGTCACCAGCTTCAGGAGTCCTCAGCAGTCACCATCATCTAGGATTGCCTCTTTAGAAAATGAGGACAACATCTCATTTCTCTGGGCTGAAGTGGCTGCACTTATTTTCTCAAAAATCCAAGCTTCTGAAAGGGTAATTTTATAAGGTATTTATGCAACTCAGTTTGTTTTCTGAATTCTGACCAGGTAAGATTCTGACCTCCTCAAGAAAGACCAGTGATGCTAAGGGCCTGTTCTTTGATGATTTTCTGTTCATTTTGTTAGTATCTATGCCCCATTTGACATCACTTCACTCCAATATTTAGAGTGAAAATTAAACAGCTGTAAAAATTATATTTATGTATGAAAAAGGTCCCTTGTTTCTCCAGCAGCTAGAAACACAGGGCTTAAAGACATATAATAGGAAAAAGTCTATTACAGACTGAAAGAGTACAAAGAATTTTTAATTCAGACTTTCACTTCAAAGTTCATCTTTTGTGGTTCTAAGCAAGAGGTACAAAAAAAAAAGTTTAACCTTCTTTCACTACAATATACATTTCCTGTCAGCAAAACTTTCATTTTAAATACTTGATCTTCAGAGAAAGTTTATGAAATTTAACATCTACTATGACATTTAGCTTTATCTTTTCTGTCTCACATTAATGTCAGAATCTGAGCACCAGTGAGTGCACAATGATGTGTAATACATACTTCAAGCCAAAGCAGATATGTTACAATATTTAGAAACCATCTTTACTTCAGCCTCAG